GACATACACATAACTTGGAAAAATATACAGACAAAAACATACCTCTCAACCATGGGTAATTAAATAATGCTCCCCAAATGGAAGACACATGGAAAGAAAGATCTCAAGCTAAATCATTATAATCTACAGATCAATTCTGTAAACCATAATTTCTCATCTCTGGAGATAAATAAGGAGAATCTTAGTTTGACAAGCTATACTTAATATCTAGAACAAAATTTAAGAAGTGATATTGTAAGGAACATTCCAAATAAGCTGTTTTGGTTATGAGACAAACAAAAAAATCACCTTTTTCTCCCTTCATTCTGGACCACCAGTCACACATGTTTAACTTGGTACTTTTCTATCCAGACAAGCAGAAGACACTCTGTCAACTACGTACTTGACAATTTGATCAATTCACTATAGTGAGTAACTAGGATGACAATGTCTAGTGATTTCTATATATATTAATATCAATAATTAAGAATACAATCTGTCACTTCCCATCAAAATCATAAGACTTTAGGACATCCTATACAGTTCCACAATTTACACAGTCTCTGCAACCTTCAAACCTATGTCCTATGCTTCGCCAATTAGTGCTGTCCCAAGAATGTGATACAGACTTACATTTTGAAAGATTTTTTCCAAAGAGAAACATTTGTATTAATATTTCTAATTTTGCTAATTCCTTAATCCCTTGTCTTCTTAAACCTAACTTTCTCCAGCCCAAACAGATTAACTAATGAAGGTCTGTAGAGATTAGCAAATAAGAACTTGGACTTGACAGTTCAAATCTGGGCTTAGTCATCTATAGCATATACTCAACCTACAGTTTTTTCATCTGGAAAATAAGGAAAGCAAACTCCTTTAGAAGATTACTTTGCATACTAAATGATTTAATACGTAGTAAGCCTTCAGCATTGTACCCACCAACATCAAACCTCCAAATTTGATACAACAATAAGGATCATGTTGAAGGGGGAAAGAGGACAGATAGAATCCAAACTATTTAAGAATTTATGATCCAATTCAAAGTTTGCCCATGTTTTGCTCCTACTTGGAAGATATTTACAATTTGTCAAGACTATAATAACATCAGCAAAATTCAAGACAGCTACCTTAACTAAACATACAAAGTCCAATTTCGACTATTTGGTTATTCCCCACTAGTAATATCAAGAGGAAACTGGGAGAGGAGTAAAATGATTATTTTCATATGGCAGAAGAGTGGCAGGGTTTGAAAGAGCATGGCCCTGGGAACCAGGAGGCCTACTTTTGGCCCTGTCTCTTCTTTGGCTAGATAATCAGAGCAAGTCATCTCCCTACCCTAGGCAATCCACCAAAGAGGGGCTCAGACTGGAAGGTCTCTAAGAGTCCTTACAGAATTAGCATTCCATCTCCTCATGTGGAAAAAGGAAACAAAAGTGCTGCATGAATGCCAATGCAGCAGCAAATGATGTCTTCAGGTCTGGCCTTTTAGGCCTCTAGTAGCCAGAGTCCTGTGTGCCACGCTCCTCTTTTCCATCTGATAGCTCACCATCCACCATAACCCAACACAAAACTAATGTTAAAACTAAGAACTGAAAGTGGCCTTCCTGAAACCCAGTAATGCAAATATTTATATACAGTTGAAAGAAATTCAAGCTTACCATTCTCTCATATCATTACTTCAAAAGAAGGGAAGCAAAAGAAGGAGGAGCCATTTGAGAATTTAAGTGTCAAGGAAATATTTTTCTGGTTCAAGTAGAACAAAAGAAGTTTATAATGCATAGAACCCCAAACTAAACTGAAAGCAATGAGTGACACACAGAAACTATTTACAGATGGAGGGAGGTAGATTATAAGAGACAGTGGTCACTCCAGTTCAAGGTCATTCACATTTGAGAGGTTAAATATACACATGCAAATACTGATAAAAATAGCAGAACATGAAGAATCACTGAAAAACTAAAATGAGATAACATACTGTAGAATTACAAATAGTTCCTGCTGATTTTTATTAAATAACTCCAGAAATAAAATAATCAGGAGTTAAGGATATGGCTGGTAGTGTGTTACTGACTGTAGCCCATGTTGGGCAGAGTGATTAGGATGATTTCAAGCAGGGACTCCTGTCTCTACCAGATCAATGAAAGTCATTTTGGGCATTTCTGGTAAAATATTGGAAAGAAAGCATTTTTTTTATTGGACTTGAAGCAGAGAGTTACCACATAGAGAACGACTGCCAGCCTTTTCAAAACCAATATGCCTGAAGCATGGTCCCTGTGGCATTCAATTACAAGTACCATTAAATTATTTTTTGTGCTTAAGCCAATGTGCTATTAAGACTTCCCTAAATAATAAGACCAGGAAACCTTTATGTTTGCCTGGCCTTCAGGGTGGTCAAATGAGTTGTAAAGATTATTATTAAATGTCGTAATCATTAACATAAAAAAAACCCCAAGAAACAAAGTCATAAGTGTAACAATGGACTGACCCACAGATATGTATAGAAGAAAAAGTGACTGGGTGCAATGGCTCACACCTGTAATCCCAGCACTTTGGGAGGCTGAGGTGGGTGGGTCACCTGAGGTCAGGAGTTCGAGATCAGCTTGGCCAACATGGCGAAACATCGTCTCAACTAAAAATACAAAAATTAGCCAGGCGTGATGGCAGGCACCTGTAATCCCAGCTACTCGTGGGGCTGAGGAGAAGAATCACTTGAACTCAGGATGCAGAGGTTGCAGTGAGCCAGGATCGCGCCACTATACTCCAGCCTGGTGATAGAGTGAGACTCTGTCTCAAAAAAATAAATAAATAAAATAAAATAAGAAAAGAAAAAGTATTCTTGGGTCATACGTATTAGGTCATCCTGATACATATATATGTACTTCATATTACAGTACTTTAATACAAGAATGTGAGAGAAGGCAATTGCTAAGTGACAGCTGGGAAAGGATTTGTCTTTTTTAAGAGACAGGGTCTTGCTGTGTCACACAGGCTGGTGTGCAGAGGTGCGATCATAGCTTACTGTAACCTAGAACTCCTAGGCTCAAGCGATTCTCCCATCTCAGCCTCCCGAGTAGTTAGGACGTTTGTAATGTGTGCCACCACGTACAGCTAATTTTTACATTTTTGCAGAGAACAGGTTTCACTACATTGCCCAGGCTGGTCTTGAACTCTTGGCCTCAAGTGATCCTCCTGACTTGGCCTCCCAAAGCATGGAGATTACAGGCATGAACCACCACACCTGGCCTCAGAAAGGATTTTAAAAGGAATAAATGAGGTAAGAATTGAAAAGTCTTCTAAAGAAATGTGTAATATAATAGTTGAGAACATAACAGTTGAGTGATCTATTTAGTAGAATATATTATTGGGAATGGGGGGATCAACTCTAAGAATAATGTTTCTTATATTCTAGCATGTGCAAAACTCACCTGGGAGCCTATTAAAACGTATATCCCAATGATCCCCCAGGAAAGACTAATAATAGTTGGTTTGGAATTCATGACTGTGCCCACACCTACCCATCCCCCAACTCCAGATGGAGGGAACACACAGGAAAAAACCACCAAATCAGCACTGTTTAGGAGGAGAGGAGGCTTTTCTAGACATGTGGAATCTTTTCAATATCAAGCAATTTGTTGAAAAACAAGAGTTTTCAGTCATTAGACCTTGCAAGAATAAACTCATCTCTTGGAATAATTTCTGAAACCTGTAAGACACCTGAAAAAAAGAGTCAGTTTTCAGAGTACAAGTCCTTGACATCCATGATTAAGTTTATTCCTAAGTATTTTATTATTTTTTTTTTTTGAGATGGAGTCTCACTCTGTCGCCAGGCTGGTGTACAGTGGCACGATCCTGGCTCACTGAAGACTCTGCCTCCTGGGTTCAAGCGATTCTCTTGCCTCAGCCTCCCAAGTAGCTGGGACTGCAGGCGTGCAGCACCACGCCCAGCTAGTTTTTATATTTTTAGTAGAAATGGGGTTTTACCATGTTGGCCAGGATGGTCTCGATCTCTTGACCTCGTGATCCACCTGCCTCGGCCTCCCAAAGTGCTGGGATTACAGGCGTGAGCCACCACGTCTAGTCCCGAATTTCATTCTTTTTGATGTTATTGTAAATGAGACTGTTTTTTCAATTTCTAATAGAAAAGAAAACTCATTATTAACATACAGAAATTTCATTGGAAATGCAATTGATTTTTGTATGTTGATTTTTAATCCTGCTACTATGCTGAATTCATTTATTGGTTGTAACTTTTTTTTTTTTTTTAGCAGGGGCTGGGGGTCTTATAGGGTTTTCTAGATATAAGATCATGTCATCTGCAAACAGAGATAACTTTACCTCTTGCTTTCCAACTTAGATATCTTTTATCTCTCTTTCTTGACTAAGTGCTCTGGCTACAGAAGCAGAGACTGCAATGGTGGCTGCCAATAGGGAAGTACTCATTAAAGGGTACAAAGTTTTGATTATATAACATAAATCAGTTCTAGAGATCTGCAGTACAGTATCGTGTCTATAGTTAACATACTGTATTGTATTCTTAAAATTTTGCTAAGAGGAGCTGGGCATGGTGGCACAAGCCTGTGGTCTTAGCCAGTCGGGAGGCTGAAGTGAGAGGATGTGCTTGAGCCCAAGAGTTTCAGGCTACAGTACACTATGATTATGTCACTACACTCCAACCTGGGCAACAGTGAGACTGTGTCTCTAAATAATGAAATAAAATAAAATAAATTTTGCTAAGAGGGTAGAGTGCTCTTAATGATAAGAATAGAACAAAACTTTTGGAGGCCAAGGGTATAGATTTATAGCACAGATTGTGGTGATGGTTTCATAAGAGTATACTTATTTTTAAACTCATCAAGTTATATATATTAATTATATATAGTTTTTGTATGTCAAAATTAGAATGTTGGAAAAACAAAATTTTTAAAAAGTCATGAAAATATTAATAATCAACTTCATGTATTTTACTGTAAGAATTAACTAAAATATTTATTTACACATTGTCTCAGGTACCCACACAGCCTTACCTGAAAGTGTCTTTTGGTAAGAAATACATTGATGTCTCCACAAAGAAATAGCAGATCTCTCTCGATTCTGCAGTCCATTCAGTCTTTCTGCTAGTCCACCTCTGTTTAATGAATTATAATGTACTAAATTTAGTTAAAAGGAAAACTTCAGAATATTTGGAACATTTATATTGTATAACCCCCAACCAGAGACAAAAAGATAAAATATGCAAAATTTTAATGTATATTTGTTACCACTTTCTCTTCCTAGAGGCCATATCCTCATAAGTCAGTTTTTTGTTTTCTTAGAACCTTGGTGTTCTGATTCCTAGAAATATGGGCTAATACTATGTCCTAAAAATATCATATTCTTGGAAATATGATAGCTAGATATCAGTTTACCTCTTTTTCTATTCTTTCTTAGTTCACTTATTCAATCCTAAAACAAGTACTGCTTACTTACCACCTGCTATATGCCGGCACCTAGCACTTCATTAGGTACCAGGGACACAAGGACAGCTATGAGTGCTGCCATGGAGGTGGGAAAGCTCCCAATGAGCTCAGCAGATGGGAGCAAACAAAGAATTGTAAAGTGGGCTCAGAGTTCCAGTCAAGAATAACCTTACCAACTGTTGACAGAACACTCAAATAAGAGCACTTAGGTATGGGTCCCTGATTTGGACTCCAGAGATATTTGAGTATCAATCACAAACACACAGCAAGGATACCAATGTTATAAAAAAGAAAACTTCCATGTGCAGCAGAAAGACAATTTATAACGATAGATATGCAGGCACTGCAGAAGAGCATTAACCTATCAATGAACACATATACTCACTGAGATATATTTATGCTTATAAATATATAGGTGAATGTAAATTACAAATATAAGTAAATACATATATATGTAGAGAGAAAGAGAAATTATCAACTCCTAACATAACTATAATATCAAGAAAAATCAAGATCAGTTGTTAATTACCACTATAGCTACATGCTATATAGGTTATCAATGTATTATCTCATAAGTTTATTATTACCAATTAATTAATCATTTCACTACATTATCTTTATTCAAATAATATCCCTTTGAGGCAGAAAGAAGAGATATCAATACCCACTGCACAGATGATAAAACCAGAATTGAGAGAGAGATTAAGAAACTTCTCCAACCTTACATAACTAGCCAGATGAGGAACAAGCTGTTAAAACCAGAATGGACTTAGCACACCATGTGGCATTTAGTAAACTTTCAAAAAATGCCCACAATTGGTGTAACTGTTTTTGTTATGTTTTTTACTTGCAGCCTATATATAGCTCTTTCAATTATGATGGAAATATTTTAATAATATATAATATTGCTAGTATTAATACCTATAGAAAAACCTAGTATGTTTTCCTGTAGGTTATTATTTCTGAATGACCTTGTGTGTAGCACATGTAACAGAAAAAAAGTTAAAACCCCTTATACTCAGAAATATGCCATAGCACCTCTACATGTCAACCTCTACTTCCTATTAAGTCCTTCTTCATATCATTCTGTTTACATTAAGTAACTCGTTTATGCTTCCCCTTTATACAATACTGTGAAGTAGGTACTATTATTATTCCATTTTATAGATGACAAACTGAGGCACCAAGATGTTAAACATCTGTTCAAGGTTAAATGTCTAATGAGTGGTGTAGCTGGATGCACACCTAGGCAGTCTGGCTCCAGAGTCCAAACTCTTAGTCTTGAAAATATGCTTAGAACCTCTTAAACAGTATTATTTAAAACGATATGCATAATAAATACAAGAAGCAAATGCTGTATTCTTTGCCCAATTATCTAGATAATTATTTGCCAAAATGTTGCTTTTCAATGCTGTGACCTTACAGGAAAAAAAAAGGCAAAATGAACTCTGAAAATAGTATCTGGTTAAAGTCAAGCCTAGAACCTCATAAGAAAACTGTGGGGATTACAGGACAAAAGGTAAAAGCAACAGTAAACATATGCACAGGAGCTCTCTACACATAGCGGTATCTGGAGCCCTCAGATAAAATCTGCATCTCCAGCTGAGTTTGGCCATTAGGGACTGTCCTGCAGGGAGTTCGGATCAGATGCACTTGAACTTAAGATAAGAAACACCATGTCCTCCAATTAACAATTCTATTTCTAGTAAAAAACCTATCTCATGTTAAAAGTCTACCAAAAGTTCAGGAAGGCCCTACCATCTATATCCAAATTAATTCTTTTGAACATAGCCAGACAAGTTATTTATAAAGGCCAAACTCCAACAGAATAAAGATACGACGAATGCACTGAGCAAGTTAAGATATCCTAATTATCTTTTCTATAAAATTAACAGATTGGAAACCTATCTCAAAAGATTACTGGTATCAATTTGACATTGGTAAACATTTCTACAAAATCAATATGGAGAAGTAAAGAAGGATAAAGATTCAAAAATATTCCAACTCATTTCTAGTCAAGATATTTTTAATAAGCTCTACAACCAGGTAAAGAATAAACAATTAGAATGACTATAAACACAGTATTTTCAAGTTTTGCTTTTTTTTAATTTTTATTATACTTTAAGTTCTAGGGCACATGTGCACAATGTGCAGGTTTATTACATATGGATACATGTGCCATGTTGGTGTGCTGCACCCATTAACTCGTCATTTACATTACGTATTTCTCCTAATGCTATCCCTCCCCACTTCCCCCACCCCATGACAGGCCAAGGTGTGTGATGTTCCCCACCCTGTGTCCAAGTGTTCTCATTGTTCAACTCCCACCTATGAGTGAGAACATGCGGTGTCTGGTTCTCCGTCTCTGTGATAGTTTCCTCAGAATGATGGTTTCCAGCTTCATCCCATGTCCCTACAAAGGACAGGAACTCATCCTTTCTTATGGCCACATAGCACTCCATGGTTTATATGTGCCACATTTTCTTAATCCAGTCTTATCACTGATGGACATTTGGGTTGGTTCCAAAACTTTGCTATTGTGAACAGTGCCGCAATAAACCTACATGTGCATGTGTCTTCATAGCAGTATGATTTAGAATTCTTTGGGTAAATGCCCAGTAATGGGATGGCTGGGTCAAATGGGATTTCTACTTCTAGATCCTTGAGGAATTGCCACACTGTCTTCCACAATGGTTGAACCAGTTGACAGTTCCACCAACAGTGTAAAAGCGTTCCTATCTCTCCACATTGCTCCAGCACCTGTTGTTTCCTGACTTTTTAATGATCACCATTCTAACTGGTGTGAGATAGTATCTCATTGTGGTTTTGATTTGCATTTCTCTGAGGGCCAGTGATGATGAGCACTTTTTTGTATAAGGAGTAAGGAAGGGATCCAGTTTCAGCTTTCTACATATGGCTAGCCAGTTTTCCCAACACCATTTATGAAATAGGGAATCCTTTCCCCATTTCTTGTTTCTGTCAGGTTTGTCAAAGATCAGATGGTTGTAGATGTGTAGTATCATTTCTTTCTTTTTTTTTTTTTTTATACTTTAAGCTCTACGGTACATGTGCACAATGTGCAGGTTTGTTACATATGTATACATGTGCCATGTTGGTGTGCTGCACCCATTAACTTGTCATTTACATTAGATATATCTCTTAATGCTATCCCTCCCTTTCCCCACAATAGAACCAGGTGTGTGATGCTCCCCTTCCTGTGTCCAAGTGATCTCATTGTTCAATTCCCATTTATGAGTGAGACCATGCAGTATTTAGTTTTCTGTTCTTGCGATAGTTTGATGAGAATGATGGTTTCCAGCTGCATCCATGTCCCTACAAAGGACATGAACTCATCCTTTTTTATGGCTGCATACTATTCCATGGTGTATATGTGCCACATTTTCTTAATCCAGTCTGTCACTGATGGACAT